GTCTGATAGGGAGGCGAATGGTTTCAGTATTTGGACAATCTTGGAGGAGAGAGTAGTGCTAAACATGGGTAGTCTACAATTATGAGCTCTGTTGCAATGGTTACAAGTCTAGTTTTTAATAATCGTTTTTATCCTCAATAAGTCTTGATACTATTGCCTTCCATAATTTTACGCTAATTACTGGGTGGATATGTTGACTGTGAAATTGATAGTCGGTTGTCTTTCTTATAACCACTGACGATGATTGGTACACTGCGACCGGAAAATGAGGTCTCGATATCTTTCTACTTCTGTTCAGCAAACACGAGGTGCTATTTTATTTCTTTATTTACGCACAAGCTGACGTTTCGGCGGATTTCGCCTTCCTCAGAGTCTGGAAAGGTCAAGTTGACAGCAATCCATTCGGCCAAACACCTCCATAACCAAACAGAGAAAACTCTAAACCAAGATTTCAATCACATTTAACATAGCCCTGCACACTCACCGCTTTCTGTGGGTCTTCCACTGAGTATATCGCGTGAAGACCGACCGCACAGAATTCACATGGAAGCGTAATGTGCCCCTCCCATCAGAATAACAGGTTTATATACTGTCCAATATCACGCGTGATAACGAGGCATTCCTCCCTGCGGTTCATTTTCGGATTCTTGGAATTAATCCAGAATGCCTCTAGAGTTTTGCGCGCTTGTGTTCTCGATTCTTGCGCGAGGATCGTAACCCTTACTTCAAAATCTTCTCCGTTAATTTTCTGCGTGCTATGTGTACCTAGTGGAGTACTTAGCTTACGTTTGCCGACTAGGTGTTCTTTTATACGTATGCAGAGTGGTCTACCCGTTTCGCCAACGTATTCGTCCCCGCACGCTTTACAAGAGATCAGATAGACTGTACCCGAACTCATGCAGTCACCTTCTCTACCATTGGGGCAAATTATGCAATTTTGCGTTGCACATAGACGGTCGTATAGGCGGTTACGAACTAGCTGGTGCCTTAGATTATTATTACTATTGAGGTCTCGATAGTTCGTTGGCGATCGTCGTCAGAGATCATCTGCTACATTGAAGATTACTGGGGAAATGATATGCATATTTGAGGAAATGAACCATCATTTGAATTGAATTATGAAATGCCGAATTACAAAGTGAGGTTCGCGAGAATCGAATGAGCTGTAAAATAGTACTTCCGATGTACTAAATGGTATGCTTGAGTAGCATGTAGAAGTGACCTAAGGACAAAAGTATGAAGTACATCATATACATGTTAGACGGGATGCGTGTGGGGAAGTGGTTAGAGGTGTCCTGCGGCGCATAGAGATGTTCGATCCTTCGCTTCAGACTCATTAAGTCTTCCATCCCTCCGGAGTTGTCAAGTCGGTATCAGATTTGTTACGGAGGATAGCAATATTTACTTGATACATCGCTGGGCCACCGCTAGTTATTGTGATAACCAGACGTGTATTCAGTCAAGCTCTACTGTGCTCAGTAGAATCAACTGCATGGCGTATCTCTCATGGATTGATCAACCCTGAACATGTTATCCTTTACCTTTTTACTTCTTGTGCCTTTTCAACTGTCACCGCATCAATGTACGAAGATTTGATGGGTGGTTTTTCATGATGGGAGCGAATTTGTCAGCTTTCACTAGATTATGGTTTCCCAGAATATATTCTTAAATTAGTGCAAGACGGAAGGGAAAAAACAAATATTAATTTCTGGCGGTTTTAGTAAGGTACGAGTGATTTTTTTTATTTGATCCATCTTCAAGTGTATTCAAAGGAGCCCAGCATTTCTTCCATTCGATTCATATTCTCGCATTCATGAAGGCTTTGAACTTTTCACGTTTGTGTTCGGTTGCTGCCTGAGGATTTTCGCCTTTGCTGTGAATGTCGTTGGATGCTGGATGAGTCGATGGTGCATGGAGTCTTGTGATAGCTATGCTAGAACATTCCTTCTTGGACGGTAGGGAGTTTAGAATGATTGAAATGATGTTGTCTAGAAAATTAAGACGTATGGCTTTGTTGCATGGATTCAAGCATTCGTATCATTGATGGGTTCGCATATCGAGATAAAAAAAAGCATGGGCGAGCCACGAACATGAGTCCTGAAGATACGTTGAAAATAGCTCTCGATCGTTAAGCGAATGTAAATACCCAGCAATAGTTTCCGACGATTCTTAAGACTCTATCCCAAGGCGCTGACCCTCTAAAAACTCGTGAGACTCAATGTTCATCATCCAAAAGTGATTCATCATTTGAGGGCAGTGAAACTCACTGGAGGAGAGGAATTGTTCGATAGAGTTCATAGATAGGTTAACAATTAACCTATGAATCAACTTGATTTATATATATATACGTATATATATATATGTACTGTGTATATGCATGTATATAAATATATATATATATATATATATGTATATATCCTCTATCCTCCCAACGGTTTACCGCCTCATCTTGGCTGGGAGGTGTTCCTGGGTGTCGGACTGCTGCGAAGTACAGCAGGGGATTCATCCCCTAACAGAGTCTCCCAAGCTGAAAATGAGTCCACTGTTTCCATCAGGAAACCTAGCTAAGAGTAAACCAATATCAGGATCCTCCACCGTCCTGGTATCAAAGTCGCATGGTGGCAAATTTCTCTTTGATCCGCAAGGTCTGCGACTGCCCGTGGTGGGGCAGACTTTGGCCAGACTGACCTCAAGACGCCAGGGAACCATAATGGCTTAACCAGCAAATCTCCGAAAAATGGAGATTATGCTGGATCCCGCACAACCAGTAAGGAGGGGTCATTCAAGTATCAAGTATATATCTTTTATAGAGGTGCGTGTAGCGCAGTGGTCGGAGACACGCTGCAGTACACATGAAGTCGATCCCAGTGCTCCAGGTCAACCAAGCCCTCCATCTCTCCAGGATCGGCAAGTTGGTACCACACTTGTCTAGAAGGATAGCAGCATTGGCTCGATACATCGGTATGCCATGGCGAGTCATTGTAAAGGCCAAATATGTATTTCACTTCCAACGGTGCTTAATGAAGTCGAGTGCTTGCCGCTGGTCCTCAGGGATGGTTCAATGGCGATAGCTTTGTCCTTTATTCTATTATATATGTTCTTACGAATCACCGTTATTGAGCTGATACGAGGTTGGCATAAGTTGTTCGTTAGAACGTATACATAGACATATCGTTCATTAGAAAGTCAGTGTTTTGAGGACTTTAGTGTTATTTATCCAAATGTTATTTTGAAACAACGGACAATATATATCAATTTCAATCAATACGGCTTAAAAGGAATGGCCACTTTCAAATTTAAATCATCGTATCATGGCTGTCAGTGAGCCCTACTAATTGGAATAAATTTGCTGGAACTTAGCGGTCTTTGCAGATAAGGGATAAACTCTCTCATTCTAAAATGACTCTTGGTTTATTCTGGAGATTTCTGGCGCTCACGAAATCTACAGGCTACAGGGTGACAGTTCACTGACGCAATGACATGCTGTCAACTTGACCTCTTGTAAACACTTGGAACTCGTGGGCCTGATATATTCTTCTGCTGTCTTGATCTTGATGAATATGGTATTTTTATTAATATTTTGTTGCATGGGCAGATATCGCGTATTGTCCAGTCTATAACATGTCCCATTTGATTTACTTTTTCGCATCCATCGTCCATAGCCTTCAGATTTCTGCATGCGTCGTATATGGCTGTTGCATTAGGATTTTTGTACTCTTCTTCGTTCAGTGCTCGCTGAATGGATTCTTCCCAAAAAAGTATGATAGCATCGCGTATCGCCCACGGCTTATGTGGATTGCAAAGGAGGTTTTGCTAGACAATTCTGCTACCAGTTTCCCGACATCAGAAGGAAGGAAATTTTTTTTGGCCCGGAACGCATTCTAGTCAGGACTTTGTATATTATTAATGGAAGGTATCTCTACCACTACTCGACCAGGGTTCCACTGTTCATGCTGTAGTTTCTCTTTCTGCTTTATCTGTGTTGAATCTCTTAACTGCAGAGTTTCTTCGATACAAACATGCTGGTTGTTTTTATGTCTATATTTCTGAACTTTAAAAAGTCTCCGAATTTATGTCTTAGAAAATCCGTGAAGATGCCACTGTCATAATTATATATTGTCTTCCTTTTTCTATGCTACGTTTCTTGATATATTGCTTCATCTTCTAATATGCATGCCAGCGGGTTACATTTGACGAGGGGGTCTTTTCTTGAAAAAATGTTTGTGGGTTAATGAATCTGACGTCAACCTGCTGGTCATCGTTTAACAATATGTGATGTTTTCATCGAAAAACGGTCAACTTGATCATTTGTTCGAAATTTTATAGTCTTTTGTGCTTCCATTTCCTAAGGAAGTGCACATGGAAGGCATTGAAATTGTACACCTTTAACACTTAATTAATTGGATACTTGGATGGCCTGTATTCACTGGTTGTGCGGGCCTAATTTCCATTTATCGGAGATTTGCTGCTTTAACCACAGTGGTTCCGTAGAGTGCCGAAGTTAGCCAAGCCAAAGTCTGCTCCAGATCGTCACCACCATAGGCAGTTGCAGTCGTTGTGGATCAGAGGGAGATTTTCCATCATGCATCTAGTTTGATACCAGGACGGTGGTGGATCCTGGTACTGGTTTACTCCTAACTGGGCTTCCTGATGGAAACGCTGGCCTCGTTCTCAGCTTGGGAGACCCTGCTGGAGGATGAATTCCTCCCCTGTACATCGCAGCTCCACACCCAAGAACACCTCCCAGCCACGATGAGGCGGCAGACTATTGGGAGAAGACCTTTGACACCTTTCTTTTAAATGGAACGCTAAGAACGGTGTTAACGTCTTAATTTATTCATTCGAATTCTGCCCATAAATTCATTTGTTCCACAAAATTTGAGAAACAGACTGGTGTTAAAATATCTGCATGCTTTATTTTAATAACTATGATGTAATATTAATTTTCTCTAGAATAGTTAGTTCATTGAGTTTCTTCTCCTTAAATCCGATTATAGGCGATGCATCTAAGGGATGACGACGATGCCGGCCGGCGCAATGTTAATCCAGCCGATACGCGCCATCCTCTCCATGTTCGGCATAACGTTGCGAAAAGGTTCACACCAGGTTCGTGTTTAGTGTTTCCCGTAGAATTTAGCATGGGACATTCCTAGGAATTCCATTTCGGCTTTCAAGTATTCATAGCTATTTTGTTGAGGAGATCCTTGTGTTGTTTGCGGTGATGCGGCTTCTGGAATTCATTACGCGGTAGCGGCGTGCAATGGCTGTAAGACGTTTTTCAGACGGGTTGTTCTTGAGGTGTACACTGTTTTGCGAACGTTGTCTAGTGCTGTAAAATAATCTTACCACTGTTTAAAACCAGACAGTACGTACTCATCATTTTAGAACCGAACATACTCATGTAAGAACAATGGCGATTGCATTATCGACAAGAACATGCGCTGTTCATGCCGACATTGTCGTTTCAAAAAGTGCATTAGGGTTGGAATGGACCGAAGTGGTGGGTTAGGAGTCTTTCTTTGTATTAGATATTTTGTTATAACTGGGTCAGGTTTGTTTACTACGGTAAAATTTAGATTAAAAATGAACTCTGTGTTCAACTCTCTCAAGTATTTAGCTTGACCTTTTCAAATACCCGATGCATTTTAATGTGCAGTATTTAATATTGTGCGGTTTTGGCGTATGGTGAACTTATTAAAGTCACCTCCTATCAGTGGAGGACGTTTGTTGCCTTGCGACTCGGGTTCTTCCATGACGACGGCGATGTAGTGATAGAAGCGAATCGCGCGATTGGTTGAACAGCTTCCACCGACCATGAAGAGAAATAAAAATTTTGTTTCTATACAGAAATGAGTTCCATTATGGTTGAACGATATTTTTTTTCCAGAGATCTCTGATCTGTAACATTTGGTTTTTTAGAACTGAACGTGGAACGTCGTCGAAAGAGAAAAGCACGACGGGATGCTGATCATGATGATAATGTCAACGAGCTTGAAATCACCGACCCACTTATTGAATTACTACTTGATAAAGAGGCGAAGCAAGTTGTTGTTGTTCTCGTTTGTTGTCTTTGTATGGTGTTACTATTGTTGTTGCTGCTGTTTTTGGCACTGTTATCTATTTACATATCGAAAGAATACCTCCCAACGGTTTACCGCCTCATAGTGGCTGGGAAGTGTTCCTGGGTGTCGGGCTGTGATATAAAGCGGGGAGATTCATCCTCCCGTTGTGGTCTCCCAAGCTGAGGAGTCCCGGCGTTTTCATCAGGAAGTCCAGCGAAGAGTAAACCAATACCAGCATCCACCACCGTCCCGGTATCAAACTAGTCGCATGGTGGCAAATCTCCCTCTAATCCACAAGGGCGGGGACTGCCTGTGGTGGTGGCAATTTGGGGCAGACTTTGGCCTGGCTATCCTCGGGACTGCAGGGAACCACAGGGCTAAACTAAAAAATCTCTGGAGGACGGAAATTGTGCTGGGTCTCGAAAAAACAGTAAAGATGGGCCATCCAAGTATCCAAGTGGAGCATACCAAATCGCTTTATTGTGGGTGGTGAGTGTCCTTGAGTATTAGTTTTGTAGTAATTGTTCTTCACAACAAAGTTCCTTTCGATTTATAAATGCCAGCGATTACCTATGATGGCTTGAGAAACCCATAGCACACCTGTCTTGAGGTTTCAGTTTGAGAAATTGTTGCTTTGCCAGCAAATTGCCGATTAAATAGAACTCGCGAGATGGCATGCATGCACAGTTACTTGTACAGATCTGCCGTACCATATAACCTTTACGTAGTTGAACAGTGCCTTTAGTAACGATGCGATTTTCAGGTACCAGATTCTGCTATCATCTTCTATTATGCCAATTCATACCACTCTACGAGATGCACTTGGAGGTGGATATAAAGCTTTTGATGATGTTGAGAAGGTACTGTATATAGTTATATACAATGTACTGCCTTTTTTGCCTGACCTTTACAGCCAAGACAATGCCGTTTAGTGTATGGTGTCAAGTGAGAAAAACACTTGTTTAATTCAGAAGTGTTTTCTGAACGTTTTTATACTGCACAATGTTTACCATATCTCTCAGTCTACAGCATTGAAGAATTAAACTAAAAAAATGCTCTACAGCCGTTTACTGTCTGGACGTTAGCTACCTTTAGTGAAGGGACAACCTAGGCAATATGCCGCTCCATTTTTTACACTGCTATCCTTGTCTTGAAATTTGATCGCCTAGTTATAGATGGTAATCTTAGTCGTTTTCGCACAGGTGTTTGGAAGAATAACAAATAATCCACCCTCTGTCAAGTTTAGTTATCGTGTTAATTCACTTCGGGTATTTGTAGCAAGCCTCCCAACAGTTTACCACCTCATCGTGGCTGGGAGGGGTTCTTGGGTGTCGGGCTGCGATGTACAGCGGGGTATTCATCCCGCCTGCGGGGTCTCTCATGCTGAGAAGGAGTCCGGCGTTTCCACTATGAAAGCTAGCTAAGAGTAAACCGATACCACCATCCACCACCGTCTTAGTATCAAATTAGTCGCATGGCGGCAAATCCCTCTCTGATCCACACGGGCTGCGACTGCCTGTGGTGGTGACGACCTGGGGCAGATTTTGGCCAGGCTGACTTTGGGATTTCAGGGAACCACAGTGGCTATACCAGCAAATCTCCGAAAAAATGGAGGTTATGCTGGGGCCCGCACAATCAGTGAAGACGGGCCATCCAAGTATCCAAGTATTTGCAGGAAGGTGGTCAAAAACCCAAGTCACGGGTTATAATAGCAGTTGTCTGTCAGATTGATTATGAAGCGCTGCAGATCAGTTTTATGTGAACCTTGCCAGAACGAATTTCGCTAGAACTACGTCTTGTTGCTAGTGCGATATATCAAGAAAGGGCATCCATGTCAGTGTCTATGGTTCGATATTCGAAATTTGAAAAGGAAAACTTTGTTTTTGCATTGGCAATTTGGTATTAACTCTAAACAGTGAATTTTGTAGTGAAGAAAAAACTAGCATTTCCACCTTAAAAGAACAGCGAAAATTTCAGAATAGGTAAGAAGTTCGGCGAATTTATTGATCAAGACACTAGGCCACGAGTGAGGAAAGAAATGAGGTTGATGTTTTCCGAAATATCCACATTTTTAGTGTGAGCCCAAATATGACAACAAAATGGGCGTTTTACATAATTGTTTCGCATGTTGGATAGTTTTAGTATGCTTCGAACCCGATGCCTGTCGGAATGTCCACGAATTTCTCCTATTGGCGTGCGAAAATATTGTCTGTTATCGTTGAATGGGCGAAATCTTTCGAGGTTTGAATATGTTTACCTGTTATTTCCTTTGTTATCTGTCCTTGGATTTCTTGTGTGTTATAGTCTTGTAGATGTATAAAAGAGTAATTGCTAACACCCATATTCTCTTGGTCTCAGATGTTCAATCGACTGGCACTTGACGATCAGATGCGACTCATTGTCCACTCATCGTTTTCCAATCTCGTACTAGCAGAAGCGTTTAACACACCTGAAAAATACACGGACCGAATCGTCTTTCCTGATGGTTTGAGTGGGTAAGTAGTTGCATTGTAGAACTCCACTATATTGGTTCCTGAATGACCACGGTACAGGTTTCGAAGTCCGTCCGCAAACACACTGAAAGAACGAAATGGATTGATTCCAACCGTCGTGGCAGTTATCAATAACATTCTGGTTCCTATACGTCGGATGAAAATGACGAAGATTGAATATTTGCTTCTTCAGGCAGTTATATTCTATGATCCTGGTGAGGGAAGACTTCTAAGTTGTAGAATGCAGGGCAGGTGATATCTTAACATAAAGTACTTCCAGAGTGTTTATCGTTATCTGAAACAGCCCAGCAATTAATAGCGGCTAAACGACGTCGTTTACTTGATTCTTTGCGTCGCCACTTGGATTCTAAAATGAAAGATTCCACGGAAAGTGCAACTCGATTTGCGGAAATCTTACTACGAATCGGTAATGTCCAGGCAAGTCTCTAAACCTATCATACTTTGAGGATTCTATGTAAGGTGATTCTAGAAACTTAACTATGAATGGAAGGATATATTAGTTTTCTAAGCCTATTTGTCTTCTTCATCTCACTGAAGACAATTCGTGGATTACAATGATACTTTATAAGCACTGCTAGACATACTATTTTTCATAACTTTTTTATTTCCCAGCTCTTAAGTATCTCGAAATACATCTAATTTCGATTGAAAATGCCCGTATTTTCGAGTCATCTCAATGTTTAATCGATGTTTTGTTAATGTTCCAGAAAGTTGCCGCCTTTAAGCGAGAGACGTTGTGCACGATAGAAACGTTCAACTTGATGCAACCTCATCCGTTTACTATGGAAATCTCGAAGAAATATCCAGATGTGTCGTTCTTCTAGTCTTTCTCTAGGTCATGTTTCAGCAAGCGCATCGAAAGTGCGAAATAGGATATCGAAAAAGTCACCATATAAAGCGCCAACTTCTACCTTTCCAATTCCGTATGTACCTACCGTTAGTACAACTGGTATAACTAGTCTACCAAAAGTCTCCGGTGTAACTAGTCTATCCAATATTGTTTGCTAAGAAGAATTGAATAGCTGTGATTAGGTATTACTTACTCTAGGAACAGAACACGAATGTGTTATAGTCATGTGTAGGCAACTTTAAAGACTTGAAATAGTATAGAACATGTGGTGTACATTCCATATAAGGCAAATATGCAGTTTCGTGGTAGAACTAGGCCATAATCTCGAAATATTGATAGGTCAGGCTACGTTTTAAAAAATAGATATAGATTCAACTACAAAGATGCTGAGGTATTCACAACACTTGGACTCCGGGTCAGATCGAACCATGTCTACACTTTCCGGGCTTAGTGCACTACACACTGCACGGAGGCCTTTGCTTTGCGTTTCTCTCAGTTAGTTTTCTACCTATCGTTGCCATCAGCAATCACCCGTCAGCGGGATTGATCTGGGGAGGGCCTTCATGGTGCAGTGTGTAATAGGCGAGCTCCCAGAAAGTTAAATCGTTGTTCGATCTGGCCTTGGCTCCAAGTTTTGCGAATATCTCATCATCGTTATGGTTGTATCCCATATCATAACCTGCTGTGAAAAGCTGTAATAGACAGAAAATAAAAAAAGGTCAATATTGAGCCATAGATCGTTGGAATAATAGGTTTCATACTGCATTTCATGCCTTGAAACACGACGTTTTTGTTAACGGTTATGTTTTTTCTTCTTATCACATTGATCTCTTGTTATACGCGTCAATGTCAATGCTGGAATTTGAATACGATGTGCAGAAGATTCGATGTAGGTTCGGTTCGCTCAGATAATGTATTGCTTTTTTTTACTTCATTATTATCATAGATAAATCCTATACGAAACATTAAAATACTCTGCATGTTTGTCTATGAGGTTCCCACAAAAAATGTCCCGATGTTATAGTGTACGGTCCATAACTTCCTAATGTAATTGTAAAAATTATTTAGTTGTGAAATGACGGTGATATTTTGATCGCTTAGCAAGAATTTTCGATATCAGAAATGAACAACTGAGTACATTTTCTTATCTACACATTAGCACAGTTAACGCGTTTGGCGCAGTGGTTGGAGGTGCTCTGCAATACACACGGGATCGATTCCCGCGCCCTTAGCTCACCAAGCCTTCCATCCCTCCGGAGTCGGCAGATTGATACTAGACTTGTCTGGGAGGATAACAGCACTGGCTCGACACATCGGTAGGCCACCGCTAGTCATTGTAAAGGCCAGATATGCATTCAGTCACCTCCAACGATGCTTAATGAAGTCGAATGCATGGCGCATCTCTCAGAGATTGATCAACGGCTAGAGTTCTTTTACGCATTAGTACTGCATGTTTACACGGATGGAAATTTCTAGTGTTTTGTCGATTAACCCTATTGTAGTAAGTCTACTTCTTCTAACACAAAGATTTTCCTAGGGACATGTTTCAATGTGCATGGATTTCATCCATGCGAAGAATCTCAGGAATCCGAAGGCTAGGTATTGCGCGTTCACAAGTGGACGATACAGCATTAGACGAATTCTGAAAGCAACTATGCCCTAAGAAACATGGACTCAAAGCATGAATTTCTTAATGTGACAAGAAAATTAAGTTATGCATCTGTACACATATATATGTACCTACGCATACAGATGTAGATGTGCTCGAGTACACGTAGATCGTTTTCCCCATCTCAGCTCAGTGGAAAGCTCGTGGCTAGGGGGTGTTCTTCGATGTTGGGCTGCGATGTACACCCGGTGGTAGTCATCTCCCCAGGGTCTCCCAAGCTGAGAGGAGTTCGGCGTCTCCATCAGGAAACCTAGCTAGAAGTAAACCGATACCAGGATCCACCGCCGTGGCATCAAGCTAGTCGCATGGTGGCAAATCCCCCTTTGATCCACAAAGGCGGCGACTGCAAGTGGTGGTGACGACTAGGGGTGGATTTTGGCCGGGCTGTCTTCGGGACTCCTGAGAACCACAATGGCTAAACCAGAAAATTTCTGGAGAATGGAAATTACGCTGTGGTCCGCACAACCAGAGAATACGGGCCATCCAAGTAGACAAGTAAAAAAAGCTCACATCCAGATTACTGAAGAGCACAGTTTATGCAGCTGATCTATGCTCCAGTTATTACAAAAGATTACAAGTATGTGAAGTTGATAATACGTGATACAATAGAAGAGAAAAGAGCAATGAAAACTAGGGCATTGTATTAGACCTGGAGTGTTGAGATCAATACTGATAGACTGTTGAAAGTTATCGATTGTTTGAGCAGAATTACTGTTCCACCGTTGGCCGACCACTTAAGTGCTTCAAGGTTCACCTAATACAGTAGGTGAAAATGCATAAGGAAAATGAGTGGTCTTTACCTTCTTTGTTGAACTGACCGTGGACTCAGCACAAGCTGGATTTGTTGCGTGCTTTGGTTTACCAATATATTCTGTATTTGTATAATATATGTATATTGGAAGGGCGGGTGGCACAGAGGTAGTAATCCATCGTCACGACCGCGGTGCTGGTTTGATCCAGCATCGGGCCAACCAAGCCTCTCGTTCCTCTGGGATCGGGAATTTCTCTAGGGAAAATTCACTCCGTTCAATCCAAGTGGGAACGCTCTAGCGCGACTATCTCAGCATTTCAGGGAGAATCGACTCGACCAGCACTCAACGACGTTCAATACGAAAGGAAAATTCTCAAGCAGCAGCCAAATCAACACACAGAAAACTGGAATGTCTTCGTAAATGGTGGATACGAGAAAATGATTAAGCGAGAATTGCTGGGACCCGCATAGATGTGAAGAACGGATAGAAAGCTTTTATCCAGTAATTAGAAGGCCTGTCTCAAGATTTTTGTGTGGGTCTCAGCATTTCTTCCATTCTTTTCGTTACCTTGCAAGCTCATCCATGGAGGTGCTCTGCTGCAGATGTGGTGCCGATTCTAGTCGATAGCAATTTCGTCTCAGAATATGAGATACGGTAAGGTGTTACCAAGTCATCACAGCCATCATTTCCCAGCCATTGTGGATCAGAGAATTTTCTGCCCTGCTGCTTCTTTTTTGTTGTACAGTCTTACCCTGCTATATCTTTTTTAATCGAATCTCCAGCTTTCTTTCCATTGGTGGTGTACACTTAACACTGTTAAGAGGAAAGCTGTTTTACCAATTTCTTGATTTGTGTAAAACAATTCCAGGAACGAGCATGATCTTTTTCATGAATCTCACGGTGGCTCTCTATCTATTACGAGGATAAAGGCAGTCAGGCTCATTAAGTTACTATGACTCTGCTGTAGTTGTACATCCAAGTTCGACATCCTGTGTGCATTCCATCATTGTGAAGTGTTAAACTACTGACATAGACATATAAGCTGCAGATGTATAGTCCACAGTCTATACGTCACATTTACTTGGATACTTACACGGCTCGTCCTCACTAGCTGTGGGGACCCCAGCACAATCTCCATTTTTTCGGAGTTTGACTGGTTTAGCCATTGTGTTTCTCTGGAATCCCGAGGTCAGCATGACCAAAGTTTGTCCCAGGCCGTCACCACCACAGGCAGTCGCCGCCATTGTGGATCAAAGGGAGATTTGCCACCATGCAACTGGTTTGATAACGGTAGTGGATCTTGGTATTAGCTTTATTGGCTTCCCAATAGTTTATCGCCTCGTTGGGTGTTCCTGGGTGTTGGGCCGCGATGTATAGTGAAGGGTTCATCCTCCTCCTCGGCAGGGTCTCCCAAGCTGAGATGGGGTTCAGCGTTTCTGCCAGGAAACCCAGCTGTGAAGAAACTAATACGTCACGTTTATCGGTTATAAAGCGTCTAAGCGTTCACAGCACCTGTTTCAACGTGCATCTCTGCAAAAATTAGAGGTTGCCAACTTCTGTTCTCAAATCTCCCACCGATGTTCCAAACTTAATGCTCTAATTTTGACATTGTATAAATTGCAATTCTCATAAATCACACCTGTATTCTGGAACTGTCACTGAAACAGTCTAAACAGGTACCTTAAATCTAGACATAGATTATTCCTACATTGGCTGAAGCTAAGCTGCTTTGCAGTTTGCTTTTGTTTTAAACCGTCCTGCAGCAGTTATAGGGCAAACATTTTGCATACCTTATGACCCGCTCGCCAAAACAAAATACTAGGTTCTCCTGGATATGACGAGTTGTGTAGGTTTCTCCCACTCCCACAGTTTAATGGACGTCAAGGTTTTCTCTTTAGCTTCTGTTGGATGACCGGCTCGTGATGCGGTCTTTTGTTCCACATGTGTCAATTGTATAGGTTTTCTCCTAAGTTGAGCTGTAGACCTACGACAATGCTCTGACTAGTCCGACATACCTTAGACCTTACCTACCTGACCGTCTCATTAGCAACGAATTTTCAAATACCAACTACAAATTAAAAAAAAAAACACTGGTTCTGTTGTGCATCGAAGCAAAAGTGGTTGACCCAGTACGGACTGATTATTCAGTGGTTGTAAAGTGTTACATTGTTTAACCACTTAATGCTCATCTACAAATTCATGTTCTTCAGATTCATGTTCTTCAGATCGACTGGAAACATAAGAGATTTCGCGTTGTCCTCATCGTCTTCAAGTTCTCTATCGTCGATAAGGAGTTAATGTAAAGTAGTAGATTTAAATTCATTTCCCAGTGACGTAATTCAGATGTGTAAAATCCAATTTATTGAAAAGATAGGCAGGGATCTCCGTTACAATCCAGAAATGATGAAATGCATCGCAGATCTTTGTTGGTGAGACGAAAAAAAAAAGAAAAAGGATAAAGCTCTCGGCGTCGATCAATCAATGAGGGATGCGCCATGCATTCGATTTCATTAAGTATCGTTGGAGGTGAATGAATGCATATCTGGCCTTTCC